CTGTAATAAATCAACGACCATCGTATGTAATATCTTTTAAGAAAGAATTTTTAATTTTGTTTTATTTTTGCAACATGTTGCATGTCGAAATGTTCTTTCATAAATTGATATATTCATCTAATATTTTTTCATAACAATTTTTACATAAAAAGATCCTGGAGATTTTGTATTAGATTTTACTGTTATTAGAAAGTATACGTATTAGTCTTGTAAATGTGTCAAAAAAGAAATCTTACAAACGGTTTAAATAAAGTCTGAAAAATTGTGTACTAGTCAATGTGTTAATAAACTAGATAGATAATAATCTCGTAGAGTAAAGGCACTGTTTAGTTCAAGTTATATTGGCACGAAGGATTTTGCATTACTTTCTATGGTTCAAAGTTCATACACAGAACTCTCATAATTTTCTCTGAGCAATTCATTCGTTCGCATTCAATAGAGATTTACATGTTTCACCGACCATTTACTTGCTAATATTCTTGTTAGAATCTATGAAAAAGTAGAACGAGGTCTTTTCTCGCCTTCTTTCACTATTATAGTATTGGTTAGTAACAAAAATAATGTATATCTTGCTCCGCTCCCTTTCTCAATATTTCTTGTCACACAATGCCATTTTTTCCTTGTTTTTTTTTTTCCATTTGATAAAAAAAACTTTAATTCAACGATAAGTTACGAGCATAATATTTCGAGAGAAGTAGACAAACAAGATTTTTCATTGCTAAGCTGAGTATTTTTCTTTTTTGCGCGAGTAGCATACACGGACGTCTTGCAATATTCTAACCACAAGTTCGGAACAGACGACATTGTTTACTGAACTCTTGAGAGAGAGTAGTCTTTAAAGATTCCTATTCCCGATGTACATAAACGCGTCGGGACATTCATGACATTCTTACGAGATCGTACCGTGTTGGTAATATCGATGTTTTATATTTTTAGTCTATGTATGGTCAACAGAAAGTATCCAGAAAGATGTTCGAAAGTTTTCCTATATTTCAGAAAGATCATTGAGAAATAAACCATCAATTGCTTACTTCGTTCGGATCAATACATAGTTCATTCGTATGACCTTTTTCGTAGATGTTAATCGATCGGTCGACTATTTCAATGGGTTAATTAATTTGAATTGAACAATAGAAAAAAAATAGGTCGAAGAAGGAGCAACAATAGTAATCGAAATGGTTATGTCACGACACGACACGTTTCATATAAGTATTAAAAAGATGTTTGAAAGTTTTCTTATATTTCAATATGATGATCACGAAGATCATTCGAAGATCCATGAATGATTCATTTGCATCATTCGCTTAGATCAATGCAATTCACTCGTATTATCCTTCTCGTGGACGTTAATCGATTGTTCGAGAATTTCAACGAGTTAATTGATTGGAATTGAAAGGAACAATAGAAAAGTATTTCAGAAAGGAAACACGGCGATAGTAATCGAAATGTTAACGTTTCAACTTCCGGTAATCTCAAAGACGAAGTTACATGACACGAGTGGGTTCATCCGTTCGAATAGGGCCTGTTTGCGTTTGTTGTTCCTTTCGAACCTTCCTGAAAAAGCCGCGAGATGACGGCGGAGAAAAGAGAAGTCAGAGCGCCGCGACGTCCCTGAAAGACAATGGAACACCTCGGGCGGCGATTAATCACCGTGCGATAATGCAATCGGAAAGCAACGTTCCAAGAGTACGAAAGAGAGCGAAAGAGAACGAGAGTCTCGATGTGGTTCGCCAAAGCCGGCTTTCTGCTTGGCAAAATGCACGTAACGTTGTCCGTGACTCTTCTGTCTCTCTCTTTCTCTCTCTCTCTCTCTCTCTATTTCTTTCTCTCTTTCTCTCTCTATCTATCTATCTATCTTTCTTTCTCGTCTTTTTTTACTTTTCTTTTTCGATATATAACTCCCTCTCGCTCAATCTGCCTTCGGGATAAGAGTCGTTCTCTCTCTCTAGCTCTCTCTCTCTCTCTCTCTCTCTCTCTCTCTCTCTGCTCGAGAATCGAGCAAGAGCGGTTATTCGTTTCTCGGTACCGATCGAGTCACGATCGAGCGATTGGTTTAGCACGCGATCGGTTCTCGATCATTCTGCGATTCTTCCTCCGTTTCTGTTCTTCAAAACAACCCCCTCCTATGAATACGATCGGAATTCAGAATAGATTTCCCTCTTCGATCCTATCTACGATGATCCTCCTTACGATGTTTGGGTTATTAAAACCGGAAAGGATGTTTGTTTTATTACACGAAAGAAATCTTTTCTTTTTTTTTCTTTTTTTCTTCGATGGAGGTATTAATAATGATAAAAAAGGAGAGAGAGAGAGAGAGAAAAGAAAAAGAAGAACGTTCGAGTTACCTCGCGTGCGTTAGTTTTAACGGTGGCAATAGAATGCCAGAGAACGAATATAAAACGGGAGCGAGTTTGCTGGCTCGACGCCCGTTTTTGCTACTGACCTCTCTTAACGCATCACGAGAATCTTTTCGCACGGTCGAAAACCAACTGGCTAAACTATTTTTGCATTCGTCGAAGCGAAACGAAAGAGAGACGTGCCCGTCGTCCATCCATCCATCCATTTTCTCTCTTGCTCGATTTTCAAATTTTTCTATTTGAAATAAGTATAACGAAGCTAGAAAAAGATCATTGGACTATAACGATAACTTAATTACGTTAAAGATAATCGTAACTCTATTAATGGAAATAAAACGATATGCACGATATAAATTTATAGCGTTGAGCTATTATAGAAGCGACTAGTTGCTTGGCCACTTGCCGCGGGCATAGATCGAAGCCTATTACTTTTTCCAGACACGGTATTGTAAACACAACTGTCTGGCTTATGTTAGGACGCGATGTGCGTCGCATGAACGTTTATAAACGTTCCGGATCTTCTTCTTCTTCTTCTTGGCGATGATCCCTGTTTTATATAAAAAAAAAAAAAAAGAAAAAAAAGAAACAATAAAAAAGAAAAAAAAGAAAATAAAATAAAAAAGAAATACATAAACTAGCTTTTTATGGTACAACGTTGCTTAAATTGTGGAGATATTTGTATGTACAATTTTAAATAGTTTTTTTTTAAAGTTTCAAAAGGTTCATTTTATCGATATAGAATGACTTCTCATCGTTAGAATATAGCAGAAAAATCAAAAAGTCGAGTAGATGATTTAATTGTTCGGAAAAGAAAAAAAAAGATTCCGATGACCGAGTTGAAGACAGGAAGGAAGAAAAAGGTTCGTCCACCCTCGTTTGTTCTCTTTGCAGCATCGAGAGAAGCTCGTAAATTATGCCAACGCACGTGGTGATTCACGCACGATCACACAGCGTTTAAAGTTTAACAGTTAGCTTAGCCGGTTGCGCAAGATTAAAGCACCGTTCACAATGATCTTATACTATTGTATATACCAGAACCATCAAGAGAGAAGAGATTCATTCTCGGACGTTTATTAATTTTGAGAGCAACGCTGAGGAACCGCCATCATCTCGAAGAATCTTTCAAGGATTCTTCTTTTGCGCAAGAATCAATTCCATCATACATTCGTCTTCGCCTACGCGCCTTCGATCGCGATATTTCGAGATCTCCTCGTTGACGTTCCAAGGAATCTTTTCGCTTTCGATGCAAGCTGAACGCTTTTTTTTCTTTTTCATTTACGAAAGTTTTCTTATTTTCCTTTTTTCTTTCCCCTCTTTTTTTCTCTCTCTTTTTTAACTCCGACGAATTATGATCTTACTAGTTTTCTTTAAAACGTCGTAAGTCTTTCGATCGAGAAAGCAAATCTTTTGTGTTTTGTCTTTCTTTATTTTTTTATTAGTTTTTATTTATTTTTATTTCTTTTTATTTATTTTTTTTTATTTTGAAATCCGTCTTCTTTTTAAACGTCTATCTAATTCAAAAGGTGGACTATAAAATTTCCTATTAGTATCGTGTGCACTACGATAAATGAGACCGTTGCTCGTAAGAGAAATTATCGGCGTCTTGTTACGGCCGCCAAGCCTTGTTTGCCACAAGTACCTTATGTAATAATCGATATGATCGATCACAATACGATCGGTACGCCACCGATACTTGAGATACTGGTGAACTTGTAAAAATAAAAAAGGAAAAAAAAATAACGTCGGCAAATCTGGAAGAAAATCCATGTAATAACTCGCAATGCCTATATACCTAACGATACAAAGTATCGGTTTTACGCGTCGTTGACTCATTAACCCAACTTTTCGTCATTCCACTTGAAATCCATAAAATGTACCCATCGACCGGGGGATATCCCTCAAGTAGTGAAGCCCTTATACGGATTTACGACGTAATAAAAGTTTGACAATTATCCCTTTCTTTTGGAAAAAAGTAAATTGTGAATTATAACGTGATTCGTTATCGTTTCGATGAGCATGATGGTACTTAACGTATCAACCTTGTCAAATCTTTACGATGTAGAACTTATAAAGAGAAACAACACGAATACGTGTATGATGAGTATATAGAGACGATTTATTATTAATTTTAGAATATTCGTTCTATATAAAAACTTGTAACCTTATCGATTAATTCTGTACGTTCATATTAATTTTCTTTTCTTAAACTTCATTTTTTCTTTTTTTTTTTTCATTTTAATTCAACGTTAGAAAGAGAGATTTTTAAGGAAGGTAGTTCCTGTATCTAGTTCGGAGAGCAACTCGAGCGTCACACGTAGGAAGGAAGAGAACGGTTGTAGTAGCGTGGCGAACGCGACGGAACTATATACCTTGTTACGGAGCGAAAAGGAAAGTCTGGCAAAGGCGAAGCATTAATTCCCAGCCACGCGGCGTGTCTAGACCGCGACACAGCCACCGTTTGGCCCAGTTACGCCCTTCTTCCTCCTCCATCCTCCCCCTCGCTCCGTCATCCCCACTCCTGACTCTCGTACACGCACCCTTTACTCTCCAGCCTCTTTCTGTTGGCTACTTGGCTACTATATCTTTTCCGTAGCCGAGAGAGAAAGAAAGGTAGATAGATAGAGAAAGAGAGAGAGAGAAAGA